CAGCTGTCGCCTGAATCTTACTCTGGCTGGCAGTATACACAGCTCAGCCACTTTCGAACTAGAAGAACAGTGTTGTTGAATAAGACTTTTAGGGGAGAAAATTATCATAAGATATGGAGGGATAATATTTTTGTACAAGATATGATTATGTTTTCCGGTTTATTGCATGCTTCTAAGTGTTGGTTGTGTATGCACATGCCGCCCTTTGCCAGTCATTCCGGCATAATGCTTCATGGTGTGCCTGTCAATGGATCTTTTCAATTTACTAATATTATATCCCCTAAGCAAACTTTTTGGCCTCCAGTACCATTGACCCTCCATGAGCCTGCCCCCATTTGTTTTCAAATTAAAGAGGGGAAAGAATCATGGGGCATATATCCAAACTGTCAATATACATTGAATTTCACTTTTAATAGCTCTTGTTCTCTTACAGGAACATACAGTGACCAATCTCAGTGCTATAGAAGCGATACCAGTGCATGGCTAAAAACTAGGAAAGAATCCTACCATGCAAATTGGAGTCTGAATTCTTCTATCCCTGGCTTAGCAAATGCCACAGATGAGCAATTTCATATCAGTTCCTTATTTACTGCAGCCTTTAATTGGTCCCAACAGAGTAGTAATATCAGCTATTTACTCCAAAGAGAGTTATGGTTGCTTTGTGGCGAAAAAGCATACAAAGCCATTCCTCGAAACCTCACAGGCACATGTACATTGGGTCTCGTGGTTCCACTGTTGTATAAGGTTGATAAGTTACCATCTTCTCTTAGACTACGAAATCGTTGGGAGGTTAATTCGCCCTTAAACCAATATATCGGTACCCAGATCTCTCGGGCCTTGCTGCCCTCAGTGGGCGCAGCAATGAACTATAGGGACCTCCATTGGCTAGCAAATTGGACTGAAGGATTATTCAATGATACCATAAAAGCTTTGAAGAATCTCAACCAGGAGGTGTCTGCAATGAGAGCGGTGGTTTTACAGAATCGTTATACTTTGGATGTGATTTTAGCCTCAAAAGGAGGAGTTTGTGCAGTTGTTCATTCTCATTGTTGTATGTTTATTCCTGATAATAATGTCAGCATATCTGCGACGATTGATCATATGGAAACCATGGTAGCTCACAATCTGTTTGCTCCTCCGCCTTCCGTTGATCCATGGGCATGGTTATATTCTTGGCTTCCGGATGGAAGTTGGCTTCGACATTTATTGATTTTAGTGATCATTATAGTAGTTATTTGCATTATTTTGTGTTGCTGTATACAATGTATTCCTTCTATAATCTCTATATGTACTGCATGGTTCTCACAAGAGTCGCCTATCGCGCTCGATATAACCGTATTGGTACTGATATATATGATTCTGATTAAAAATATAAAGAAAGAGGGCATGTGGGAGCCAGGAAGTCATGAAAAAGGCTTGTAGCGCCACCTGGTGCCTCGCTGACCTCGGTGACCTGCATGTCCGTGCCTTGCAGTGTATTAAGTGCATAGCCTTATATGGAGTTATGTTCCCCCTCTGGGCAGTAATTACCATATATGGCGATGGGTGGGTTTAAGCCATGACCGGATGTAGGTAATGTGAGACATTGGCAAACGGCCATGCGAGAGGAGAGAACAAAGGATAATAAAAGTTACGGGAGAGAAGAGAAGTTCGAAAGGAGCTGCTCATACCATCCTGAAAATATTGCTGGCTCTCTGTGTCTTTATTTTATGCTAAACTGCGCCATTTGTGACGGCTGGCTCTGACAATAGAGGAGGGAGAAAGGTTGTTTTCTGCTGCTCCAAAGAAGCGGACACGGAGCAAAGGATCCAAACTACAAGAAAGAAGATTCCACCTAAACATTAGGAAGAACTTCCTGACAGTAAGAGCTGTTCGACAGTGGAATTTGCTGCCAAGGAGTGTGGTGGAGTCTCCTTCTTTGGAGGTCTTTAAGCAGAGGCTTGACAACCATATGTCAGGAGTGCTCTGATGGTGTTTCCTGCTTGGCAGGGGGTTGGACTCGATGGCCCTTGTGGTCTCTTCCAACTCTATGATTCTATGATTCTATGTTTAAAAGTGGGTGAAGATCTAAGTAATAGCAAGAAACTCAAAGTTTTAATAAAGAGAAATATATATTTATACTTGATGTAAAATATGTCTCCTAATATGGGAGATGGATTCCAGGTTATGCCTCAGAAGTGCAGGCCATCAGAACAGAATTAGAAGAAAAAGATTTCACTATATTTCGAATGAGTTTAAACTAAATCATTGCAACAGAGCAGGAAGGCATGACATTAACTAGCACTGACTTTATTTTACTATGACCTTTGCCAAGCAATTTTCTCTGCCCTAATTTTAAGCTAACCAACTCAGATGTGTTTCTAGATCTTAATTAAATATTGCAATCATTTGAGATGTTCTGATGAAGGGTGGAAATTATTATAAAGCTTTTTCTCAACCACTTCCTAAATGCATAGTTAGCAAAAGGGATCTTTCTTCTTTTAAAGCACCCACTGCCAGATGTGTTACCACTTGGCGTTCAACCAGGCCGTTACGACCTTCTATTGATCTGGAACACTTTTAGAAAGAGAAAGAGAGAGAGAAATGAAATGGGGAACAAGCCAATGTTTACAAAAGTCCATGGGATTATTTCTGTGGGGTTTTGGATGCCATTCATATTGCACTCTGCTGTTTTCCAATTATAATAGTAGTGCTGCTATTATGATGGGTGCAAGGTGTGTTGAGGGAGGGTCTTGGTCCATTTTATGGAGGACAGAGGAGTTTATTCCTGGCAACACAGTATATGTGCATGTGCATACCTGAGTCCTTGCAATACATCTCAAGATTGCTCTGTTTAGCCATACAAGGGTAATAAGAACAATCTTGAAAGACTGTTTTTCTAAGACAGCCTTTGCCAGATTTGTGTCCTCTAGATATTTTGGACTACAACTCCCATCAGCCAACATGGGAGTTGGGAATTCCCAAACATCCCAAACATCTGGAAGGTGCCAAGGTGGCAAGAGCTGCTCTAAGAGTCTTTTTCCTCCCCTTTTTAAAAAGTTTTTTTTCATGTTACAGACAACAAAACAACACATATACCAACAACTGATGATACAGCAATCAGGATTATTTAAAACAGTAATTTTCAAGCTGTGTCCTAGGGAACCTTACATTTATTCAGTCCCAGTGCAATGATTTGCAGTGGCAGAGAAGCTTCCATGAAAGGCATCTTCCAATTTCCCCTAACATGCCTTAGGGCACATTCTCAGTTTCCTAAACTCTCATGAAGGCTGAGGCACACCTAGCCAGCACCCAAGTAGATGAGCTAAAATCTTCAGGGTTCCATAACAGAAATGCAAGTTCATGTGAAAAGGCTTCCCCCAGGCCCCATCTACTCTATACATTTAGATCAGTATTATACTACTTTATATCATCAAGGTTTCTCCCAAGGAATCCTGGGGACTGTGGTTTGTTAAGGGAGCTGAGAATTGCAAGGAGACACCCCTTTCCCTCATAGAGCTACAATCTTCAGAGTTCCCTGGGAAGAGGGATTGACTTAAGCCACTTTGCTAATTGTAGCTCTGTGAGGGGAATAAGGGTCTCCCAACAAATCTCAGGGCCCTTAACAAATGACAGTTCACATGACTCCTTGGGAGAAGCAATGACTGTTTAAAGTAGAATGATACAGCTTTAAATGTAGAGCATACATGGGGCCTGAATGCGGAGTCTTCAAAGCACTGACCTAAGATGCACGGATAGTATAAAAAGTCTATCTTCTAGTTCTGCATTCATCAGTATTTTCAGGCCATGATCATCTACCCTTACTTCCAACTTGCAAGACTGAGCCACATTTATTTTTTATTGTTGACAGCAGTCCCCCCCCCCTCTCTCTCCACCCCCACACTCCATGTTCTCTTAAAAGAGAACCTTAAATAAGAAATTGTGATGATGATTTTGATGCGACCTACACTGGGACAACATGACTCACCAGATAAAACCTAATCTAGCTGAGACTCTGTGTAATTGATTTAACAATGGCTATTCAGATGTGACCTATCCACTATTAACCAGTGATTAGGCTTATCATAGCTGAGCTTTTTTCTCAACATCAGTGAATACTATATACTGAACAGGCTACCTTGGGAATTTCTGACACATGATTGTACTTTACAGATGGCAGGATGTTACATGGTAATTAAAGTCATCATGTGAAAAACATGTCCATGCATGTTTTTCTGCCAAAGTTCTTCCCTAAGTGCCTTCATTAACCCAAGTGTGCTGTGTAATAACAAAGAAGAGGCTGTTTTCAGTGGTAGCACCCTAGTTATGGACCACTCTCCATGATGCCTGGTGCCTTCATTACAATTTTTAGGTGCCAGAATATGTTATTTCTATTTTTGGGGGCATACAATATTTTAAATAAACACATTGTGAGGATCCTGAAAGAGCACCCCATCCCTACATTGTCACAGTTGTGCAACACACCTGTTAACCTGAATATATAACTAACTGGATGCTTTGGATGTTCCTTACATACCTGTGTTGTGATGTTGTGTTGTGTGTTGTGTTGTGTTATGTTATAGAAGTATATGAGATAGCATATGAGTTCCAGCCATCAGAACCACCACTTACCCAAAATCCAGCCGTAACTAATAGTAAGTGAAACCATTTTTCTTTCCAAGTGGCCTTACCATGACTTTTACCAGCTATCTAACCACAGTGGATTTCACCTGCTTGCTGTGATATTTAAATTTATTGGAGTCTGGTTTCTTCACACCACTTGTGGGTTTTTTCCTCATTCTGACAAGCTAAGCCCAAACCCTCTTCTGCAAGGTTGTATCACCTCATTGCCTTTTCCATTTTACAGATGATTAAGTCCTTGCAGCAAAAAAAAAAAAAAAAAAAAAGTCATACAGATCTCCTAGTTGTTCTAAACACACTAGGTCATGTGGCTATCAAGATGATGGAGAAAAGATGGATGTCTGCTCTGGAACTGGAAATCTAAATACAGCTTGGTAGTAAAATAAAAATAAATTTAAAAAATTGTCCAGTAGCACCCTATAGACCAACTAAGTTTGTTCTGGTATAAGCTTTGGTGTGCATACCTGAAAAAGTGTGCATGCACATGAAAGCTTATACCAGAACAAACATAGCTGGTCTATAAGGCACTACTGGACAATTATTTATTTATTTTATTTTTATTTCAACTGCATCAGACCAACACGGCAACCTACCTGAATCTAGAAGCTTGGTAGTAAGTTTCCTTTGTGAGTCATTATGACTGCATTGTGTGATGAGGTCAAGATGCTAGAAGAAGTGATAACACCCAGGCACACCTGCAAATGAAGCCAGCTGTGGGCCTTTTTGGTTTTTTTGACAAATTAGGGAAAACCATGTGCATTCATTATTTGCTGACATCAACAACTTGGATGTGTGAATGAACCATCACATGGCTAATGCCTTCCACAAACATTCCTTGTTATCTGATGTTGCTTCGAAGGCAATGCTTTTCAATCAATTCATTTGTCAGTCATATACTGAACAACCAAGAAACGTGAAGTCAAGTGATGTACATGTAGGAGCCCTTGGGAAAAACCTCAGCCAATGTACAGCTGAGGACCTTTCTGGATTCCATTCTTTAATATATATGTAGTGATGCTATGATTCAGTGTTTGAATCGGCTGCTCTAATTGTGACATTAACAGCAACTTGGTGTGAAGATCCTAGCAAGGATTATTAATTCTATAGGCCTTGGCTGCACTGACTTCTTTAAATAATCTGATTTTAGAAAAGTGCCTCAAATCAAGTGATTTTAGAAAAGTGCCTCAAAAAATGAATGGTGAATCATCAATATAAGTTGGGAGGACTTCAATTATAGTCAGTCATTTTTCCTGCTAAGCTACTGTACGCAGCCAGGTTCTAAAGATTCACAACTGTTGAAGGCTTGATCTAGGCCTGTAACAACAGCAGGAGGCAGGAATGAGGTGGTAAAATCCGGGAGTCCGGAGGTGGTAAAATGGAGTGTGCCATCAAACTGTAGGTGTGGTAGACCAATTTTGAAAGCTTCCCTATCTGAAAAGATCTGAAAAGAAAAATAGAACTATGCTACGGTAAGCTGTAACAAAAAGCAGGGGAGGTGGCGTGGGGGGGGGGGACACCCCTCATTTCCTGTCCTCTGTTCACCAACCCAAAGGCATGGGTCAGATGTAAACGATAATAGTAAAGTTCATACAAGCACTGCAGTGGACAGGGACTGAGTTGCTAGCCTCAATCTGAAGGAAAACAACCATATATTATGGAATGTGGCAGATGCCATTTGTCCTGTAGAGTCTTTGTCTGTATGCGTGAGGATTTCGTTTAAATGGGAGGAGCATGATTTCCCTCATAGGCAATTCAGTATGAACTCTGAATTAGTACGGTCCACCCTACCACCACAGAATTCTAAAATGTCATGCTGTGGCATCTAATGAACCAGAACTAAGAACCACTTTAGACTTTGTGTGGTCCACACCTGTGTTATAGTCTCTAGAGATCTTCACATGAACACCCATCTCTCCTGTACTGGTGGAGTGAAGGAACTCATGGGGGAAGGTGGGTCAGGAGTTGAAGAACCACAGAGAGCTCTGAGTGAAGAACAGGTTCCAACAAAGATGAAAAGCAAGCCAAGCCTTTTTAAGCCTCTGCCCCCAGAGGCCACCTTTCGCCTCATGTGTTCCTTGAAGGCATGAGACATCCCTCCTCTTTCTGTCTCTCTTGTTCTATGACAAGAGCCCTTTATTCTTCAGATGACCCTTCCATCATGTGTTGAACAAGTCATCCAGGAAACATGTGAAGTGTGATGGGCAGATCTTCTTCGTTTCCGTGGACAAAATGGATTGTTTCAAGAGGTGGCAGAAAGATATTTCTAGATTTGTCTGGCAGGGCAAGAAGCCCAGAATAGAATTTAAAATACTAACGGACGCAAAGGAAAGAGGTGGATTTGCCCTGCCAGACCTCAAACTTTATTATGAATCAGCAGCTTTTTGCTGGTTGAAAGAATGGCTGCTTCTTGAAAACACTGACATTTTGGACCTAGAAGGTTTTAATAATGTATTTGGATGGCATGCATATCTGTGGTATGATAAGGTCAAAGCACATAAAGCATTTAAAAACCACATTGTCAGGAAAGCGCTGTTTAATGTTTGGATAAGATATAAGGATTTATTAGAAAATAAAACTCCAAGGTGGCTGTCACCAATGGAAGCGAAAGCCTTGAAAAAGCTCAATATGGAGGTCAAATAGCTGAAATATTGGGAAATTTTGGAACAAGATGGAGATAGACTGAAATTGCAGAGCTTTGAAAAACTAAAAAACAAAGTGCGAGACGGGCTTCATTATTTTCAGATAATGGAGGCATTTAAATTGGACAAGAAAATTGGCTTCCAGGTGGAAAAATCAAAATTAGAAACTGAACTGTTAGAACCCAAAACTAAGAATTTGTCAAGAATGTATAACTTGCTGCTGAAATGGAACACTCAGGATGAAACGGTAAAATCGGCTATGATTAAATGGGCACAAGACGTTGGACACAACATTACGTTTGCAGACTGGGAACAGTTATGGACCACAGGTATGAAATTTACGGCATGTAATGCCCTAAGAGAGAATATTATGAAAATGATAGACAGGTGGTACATAACCCCAGTCAAGCTTGCAAAAATCTATCATTTGCCCGATAATAAATGTTGGAAATGTAAAGAAACTGAAGGTACATTTTATCACCTTTGGTGGACGTGCCCAAAGATTAAGGCTTTCTGGGAAATGATATATAATGAATTAAAAAAGGTATTTAAATATACCTTCTTGAAGAAACCAGAGGCCTTTCTCCTGGGCATAGTCAGCCAAACGGTGTTAAAAAAGGATAGACCTTTCTTTATGTATGCAACAACAGCAGCAAGAATACTCATTGCAAAGTATTGGAAGACACAAGAGCTCCCCACACTGGAAGAATGGCAGATGAAACTGATGGATTATATGGAACTGGCGGAAATGACTGGTAGAATCCGTGACCAGGGAGAAGAGTCGGTGGAGGAAGATTGGAAGAAATTCAAAGACTATCTGCAGAAACATTGCAAAATTAAAGAATGTTAGAGTGATGTTGGACTGAAAATAAGTGGCTTCTAGCTATATAGGCTTTAAAGTTATATATAGATCAAGATTAAGGATTAGGATTAAAAAAAAGTTAAAGGAAATGGAAATTTGGTTTTTAAGAGGTAAAAATTTAAGGTTATATTATATTAAGATTAAGGATTGGGATTAAAAAAGAGGGAAAGAAACTGCTGGACAAACAAACTGAACTGGAATACAAAAGAGGGAGGTATGAGGAGGTCCAGAAAATAAGTAAATTTAAAAAGGTTATGAAAAGGTGGTATTATTTTTAACTGTTTTCTTTTTTGTCTTTTGCTTTTTGTTTTTTTTTTGGATTATGTATTGTGTATTTTTGAATTGTGTATTTTTCTTTTTTCTTTTTAATTTTTTATTGATGTGTTCTTTTTATTGGAAACCTTAATAAATATCATTTTTTTTTAAAAAAAAGAAAGATCTTCGTTTCCTAAGCAGTGGGGAGGTGGGAAATGAGCAGAAGCGTTGTGCCTGGCGTGTTTGTGGAATGCGTTGGCTTGGTGCCAGGCAAAAACATCCCTTTTCAAATAGGCCTTTGGCTGATTGACATCTAAGGACTCAGCTACACTGGTAGAGAGAATGTGATTTATATGCATTGTAGGTGTGATATACATTGTGCCACCAGACGGCGATGGGGAATACTGTTTTTCTCTACCTATTTTCCCTGTTTAAATTTACAACACTTTCAACTGAAACGCTACTTTGATGTGTCTAGATCCAGCCTAAATGTGTTGTAGGAGGGGGTTATTGGTTTGTTTTTCTTCTTGTTTTTCTTTTGTATTATTATCTTGTATTTTATCTTGCCTATACAAATTTAAATAAATAAATAAGCAGTGACCCACAGTCAAAACACAGATGAAAAACCCAACAGTCCTACTTAGGTGTTATTCACTCACTCCCATCTACATCAGCACAGGAATACGGGTCCCCGAGTGGCTCTGCCGCCAACATTGTGTGCTCCTTCTTGGACATCCACCTGTACAGCATGAACATCTGTATGCATGGGGAGGGCTTTGTACCTATGATTGTATGTGCAAAGACTTCCTAGGATCTGAAACCTAAGCAATCAGGGTTTCAGATCCTGGGGAAGGTTATGCACATATGTGACAAGGAAGCCTTGTCCATCAGACAGGCGCACTGTGCTTGGGTCAGATCTCTCGGGGACCTCTGTGTAGGCTGCCTGAAAAAGAATAGCTTGCCCCATTGATTCATCCTGGTGTGTGGAAGGGTGCTACCAGATATTTCTCACAGTGATTGACTTGGGTGTAGAAACCCTTCATCGGCCTTGGGGTGGGAGAATAAGTGTGACAGCTGCAACCCTCTGCTTTATGAGACCCTGTGCTGATAACAGCCATAGTGGGCTTGGTGTGAATTCTGCTACCTAGGAGCACTCAATCTCTGAGAACTGGCTGTAAGGCAGACACTGATAATAATTTAAATCTCAGTACCTTTATCCTGGGATATAACTTTGCTGCAGCCCAACATTCTTGTTTAAAAAATTTGGGAAGTGGGAACAGATCAGCAGCAACTTTACAAGTTCAATGCACACGATATATTGCTTAATGTACAATGTTCATAGTGGCAATCAGGCATGTATACAGCAATGCTCAACATTTTGTCCTGTTTTTCTTTGACAATGGGGGGTTGCCATAGTGCTCAAGATTTGTTTTACTTTGAAAAAGTGACCAAAGAGGTGGGAGAGGAGGGGGCTTGGGGAAAACAAGGGGCCCAGTGATATCATGCGCCCAAGGGTCTCCAGAAACCTGGAGCCAGCCCTGTTTACCACTAAGTGGTATATAAATATAGGAAGTAAAGATTTAAAAATTAATTCATGTGATGAACCCCTCCAGGTGCCACATTTGGTAGGTAGGCTGTTTCAAGTTTCTTCTCTGTATCCACTGGACCTTATGAAAAAGTCTGAAGATGGAATGGAGTGTCACTACTGTAATCAAATATTGCTGTTAATCTTATCCCTGAAGTAGCATACCAAGAAACAATCATAGTAGTCTGACCTTA